TATTTACTCAATAAATTACGTTTAAGATGTTGCCTTCTCAGATATATTGGCACTTTACATTATAACTTACCGATAAGAGATGGTTTTTCAGAAAAATATGCAATTCACGTAATAAATTACGTGTAAGATGTTTGCGTTCTCAAATATATTGGCTTTTTATACTATAACTTACCGGTACGATATGGTGTTTATAGAAAAATAAGCTATTTACTTAATAAATTATGGGTAAGATGTTGTGTTCTTAGATCTATAGACACTTTACACTATAACTTACCAGTAAGATATGATGTTTTTAGAAAAATAGGCAATTCACTAAATAAATTACGGGTATAATGTTGCGTTCTCAGATATATAGGCCGTTTACACTATAACTTACAGTTAAGATATGATGTTTTTGGAAAATTAGGCTATTTACTTAATAAATTACGGGTAAGATGTTGCATTCTCAGATATATAGGCTTTTTACACTATAACTTTTCGGTAAGATATGACGTTCTCAGAAAAATATGCAATTCACTCAATAAATTACGGGTAAGATGTTGTGTTCTCAGATATATAGAAACATTACACTGTAACTTATTGGTAAAAGATAGTGTTTTTAGAAAAATAGTCTATTTACTCAATAAATTACGAATAAGATATTGCGTTCTCAGTTTTGTAGACACTTTACACTATAACTTACCGATAAGATATGGTGTTCTTAGAAAAATATGCATTTGTTGATGTTCTTTTTGGGAGGTCAACTTATATAGAGGTGGAATGGTGGATGATGGGTGAAGGTGAGAACCTTCAGCATGTGTGTGAAGATTTGGGCAAGTGATAAATATAAAGAAGACAAGATATACGTGGTTCACCCTTAATGAATGGGCTACGTCCACAGAGAAGCCCATGATTAAAGATAAAGCCCAGCCCAGGGATCAAGAAGAGAGTCCAAGGCCCAAGGGTCAAGATTCAAGACCCTTTTCTAAGTAGAGAGTGGTCTTCTTTTATAGGTGAGGGAGAGTCTTCACTTCTTGTAGTTTTTCGATGTGGGACTCCTCTTGCTTTGCTTAGAGTTGTGACTTGTGGTAATGCTTCTTTGGCTAAGGTGATGACCTCTCAAAGAATGGCACGTGGATGATCTAGCCAAGCTAGTTGCTCGGTTAGTTACGGTACCAACAGTAGTCCCCCAAGTTCGCGAGTAAGAAGGTACTTCTTGGTTGGGGACTTGTAATTTTAAGTGCACTGGCCGAGCAACGCCATAGTTCATCTTCCAAGCTATATAGTGCACTGCCCATAGTCCCTCAAGTCCCTGGGTAAGAAGGACATTTGGAAGGGAGAGAACTTGGCACGAGGGTGCCGAAGATGAAGGGGTTGCCGAAGGCATAAAGTTGCATGTCACAGGATGAAGTGGCTGGGCATGAGGGTGTCTAAGGCATAAGAATTGCATGTCACAAGACGATGGGCCTAGGCACGAGGGTGCCAGAGGTAAATGACTTGCATGTTGCAAGACAATGTAGCTAGGCACAGGGATGCCAAAGGCAAAGGGGATGTCAAAGGCACAAAGCTTGCATGTCGCAAGGCGATGTGCCTAGGCACGAGGGTGCCGAAGGCGACACAAACCTTGCATGTTTGTAAGGCGATGTGCTTGGGCACGGGGGTGCCGAAGGTGACACAAGGTGTGGCTAGGCACGGGGGTACCGAAGGCGACGCAAAGCTTGGATGTCGCAAGGCGATGTAGCCAGGCACGAGGGTGCCGAAGGCACAAAGCTTGCATGTCGCAAGGCGATGTGGCCAAGCACGGGGGTGTCGAAGGCACAAAGCTTGCATGTCGCAAGGCGATCTGGCTAGGCACGGGGGTGCCAAAGGCGACACAAGGCTTGCATGTCGCAAGACGATGTGGCTAGGCACGGGGGTGCCGATGGCGACACAAAGCTTGCATGTCGCAAGGTGATGTGGCTAGGTACGAAGATGCCGAAGGCGACACAAAGCTTGCATATCGCAAGGAAAATTGCAAATGTGCCTTTTTTTTTCTTTTTTTTTCCTTTTTGGTAGCTTGGGTAGCTTGGGTGTTTGGTGAGGCTTGTGGCCCTTTTACACGGCCCTTGCCGTTCGGCAAGGAGGTCAGGCTGTTTTGGAATTTTGTTTGCCCATGCTTCTGCAAGTAGGGATTTATGGGGCCGAGCCCTTGTGTTTTGGCATGAGTCTTTTGCTAGGCTTGGCTTAGACTACGTATGAAGCTTTCAGCATGCTGTGTTGCGCTGGCCATTACCTTCTTCCACATCGCAAGGTTTGTGCATGGTCAAGCCTTGCGCTCTTCTCCGCTTTGGTAAGTTAGAAGGGAGTTGGGTTGCGTGGCATTGAGGAGCTAGGCTGGGAATCAAGTGCTACCGTTCGAAAGGAGGTTACAGCCTGCTAGAGCACACCCTCGACTTCGGTGATTTGGATATGGTTTCGTGTTGTCACTGCTTCGGCAGCATAGGCCAAGTCTCACGGTGGTCCGAGGATCTTCGAGTATTGGGCACCGAGTCTGCAGCATTGCCCTTGCCGAACGGCAAGGGTGGCTTGGGAGCCTTTTTGGAGGCATTCTTTGCTCCTTTGATCTAGGTCCTTGGTCTATCAGCAAGAGTGAAGGTCGCGAAGCCCAACGCCAGCTGCATGTTGGATTCGTCGTCTCACTGTTTCAGTGCCTAACAGCTAAAACAAGCGAGTCTTTTCGTGAGAAGATTTTTCATGGTTCCTACCGTTCAGCAAGGCTGAAGGTTGTGGGGGCATTCGGCATCGGCAAGTCTCGGCTTCGGCAGCAGAAAGTCTCGGCTCGTGTTGTCACGGCTCTAGCAAGGGGTCTTCTCCGGTTCAGCAAGGTCAAAAAATGGAGGTTTCAACCAAGTGTGGCAAGCGCTGTGTAGTTGGAAAAGAACCTGCCGAACGGCAGGGGTGATTTGGAAATTTTTGAGGCCTCTCGGAGAATTGTGAAGGCTTCGACTGTAACACCCCGACTCCAAGTAAATTTCCAATTTAAAGTATTTAATCTAATTAAATGTGAATTTACGAAATTACCCTTGGGGTAGGGTATTTCGGTCATTTTCTTAATCCGGAAAGAGAGTTTGGGGCAGTGTTTGGTATTTTTGGATTGGTCGCATTGAGGTGAGTCCGTGGACGTGTGGTGGACTCGATTTGGATTTGTAACGAAATTTCGGCATTCAATTTACCTTCGATGGAAAAATCGTAATTAACTCGAGAAGGGTTTAGGTAAAAATCAGCTTTGCTTTCAGTTTTACCTCACTCTCACTCTTTCTCTCTTTCTCTCTCCCCGAGCTCTTCTCCCTCTCTACGTAAAAACTCCAGAGTTACTGTTCACCCGAACAGAAAAATCCACGCCGCCACCACTTCCGGCCACCTCAGCCCTCAAGACCGGTCCCAAAAGCTTCGTCTCGACGTCCCGGTCAAGACCCAATAGCTTTCGTCGCCGGAAAACTCAAGAACAGCCGGCAATTGCAACTGGTTCGTTTCGAGATTTTCTCATTTCGGGATTTTCCAATCGTTGCGCCATCGTCTCCGCCGCCTTTTTCCGATGTTTGAGGTGAGGTTTCTTCCTCTCTATATCTGTTCTAGCTGCCTTTGGTTAGGATTGGATCTTTTTGCTGCGTAAAACCCGATTTGAGAAGTTAGGGTTTTGGCCGGTTTTCAATTCGAAATTCCGGCCAGTTCCCGGCGGTTTTGGGCTTGGCCGTAGTTGAATGAAGTGCTCCCCTAGTTGAGTAGGACCTGTAGCCGGGAGGGTGACTTGTGATTTGGAGATTTTCCGTCACCGGAATTTCTCTGCACAACCGCTTGCTGCCAGCGCTTGTGGCGGCGTGTGGGCAAGTGTGGTGGAGCTGCAAATTGTTCCAGTGTGATCCTTAGGTTGTCACGAGCGCGTAGGATTTCGTGGATCTCGATTCCGAGGTCGTTTGACTATCGAACGGATTATCGCATATTGTGCGTTATCCGGGTTCGATATGTTCCGACCGTTGGATCGTTTTCAAATTGAAGTATGTTACTCTAGACACCCTTAGGATCGTGTAGGATTCAACGGACCGCAAAACGGAGTCCCGTATTCTCCGAAAATGCCAACCCTAGGGTTAGGGTTTCAGTAACCGTCCAATCGTGTGATCGTGAGCGATCTAACCGCCCGTTTCAGACCAAACTTGCAGGACGTGTATCCTAGACCTTGTAAAACCTATAGGAACTCCCGGATTGAAAAACGGAGGTCGTGGGTCCCGTGGGCCCGGTTGACTCGAATTGGAAAGTTTGATCGTCGGTTGACCGAGTGTCTTCCGAGGCTGTTTCATCGTGCGAATTGGGTAGTTGGACCCTAGAACACCTCTTTCCTCGTACTCACTGGAAACCTGAGAAGCTAGAGTTTTATTTTAAAGTTCTGTTTCGAAGCGCTTGATGTTAATCGCATTTTCGTATTCTGAATCAGGTACTCCGACCCCGTATACGCAGCAGGCGGGACCCTCTCAGGGTCAAACTGTGTGGGACTACTTGTGAGTGGACTTTTCTTTCAAAACTTCAACATGACTTTATTCATGGAAAATATGGCATATTGCTTTATTTTGTTTATTGAATATGGTATATATTCGAATGTGAAATTCGTGGTTTTCATAAAGTTTTGATAATATGTTTGGGTTTTGAGAATATATACACATATGGTTATGTGTGGGGTACTTGGGAGGTTAATATGAGTTTATGTAAAGGGGTGATTATTGATATGTCTGTTTGGAGTGCTTTAAGCACTATCCTATGTACCTCCTTGGATCTGAAACTTGATTACTGATACTGAATACACTTGGAATTATTTGAGTTCAGGACATCCTTGAGGGGATGTTGCTGTGGACCTTGGATTTGGGGTAGTCTGCACGCGTAGGACTGGTATTTCAGGCGTACAAGCTTTGACTGTGTCGGCTGTACGTGCTGGCTGAGAGTTAGTTCCCCAGTTGGACGGCTCGTTCCCTAGACACATGGTGAATTAAGGAATGGCTCTGCCATGTGGACTAGTCAAACAATCCCCCGGTTGGATTGTTTCCCCGGTACAACTAAATTTTGGTTATATTTATATATTATTATTATTATATTTTATATTACTATATATATATATATATGAATATTCTGTCGTTCTTATTTCTCGGTAAGGATACTTCCTCACCGGTCGTACCATTGGGTACGTTTTTGAGAGTTTAATCTATCGGGACTCTTAAGTTTTGAGTGGTGGGTTTTGTGAAGTGTGATTCACGGATTTCGGATTTGGTATCCGGTATTATTTTTAGTATATGTTTATATACTGCTTATGACGGTTTTATTATGCATCTGGATTCGTTGCATGTTTTTATAAAGGTGGGGTTATATTACTTTGATTTAATTGAACTGAACTTAATTTTCGTCCACTCACAATTTTCTGTTTTGCGCCCCCAGCCAGTAGCAACTGAGCTCCACAGTCGAGCCGGACCGAGTGCTCTCGAAACTTGAGTCTTCGTAGGGACTCCTTCACCTTTTCCTTTTAGTTGAACTGTACTTCTGTTGTATTTGAATTTCTTAGATATGCTCTGTATCGCCCGCTGAGGGTATAAATCGTGAGGCCGGAGGCCTTTGTTGTAAACTGTTTTATTGCTTGTAAAGCATGCTGCTAGTTGGTTGTTTATAACTGTAATTTTGAACAGGTTAAAGTTTGGGAATGTTCATTTTACAGGGGAGACTCTGCCAAATTTTTGGTAGAAAGTCTCGGTCTTTAGTAAGTGGGCCCGGCATCGGGGTGATGTCGGAATTTAGGCGGGGTCCGTCCCGGTTTCCAAGAAGATTCGGGGCGGGTCCTATCATCGGCAGCTCAGCAAGAGAGTAGTTTGGGCTTGCTTCGGCAAGGGGGTGAAGAACGCAGCCGAGCTGTGGTGGTTTCGGCAAGTGAAACACATCGGCAAAGTTTTGGGTCTCTCCACCTGCAGCAGGTATTGTCATGTGGCCCTCTACCTTCTGCACAGTCCTTGCCGTTTGACAAGGCTATTTGCCTTGTTGTTTTGTTTTGTTTTGTTTTTAGACCCTCCTTTTCTTCTGCTGGACCCTTGCCGTTCGTCAAGGGTGGTACGACATGGATTTTGCTGAATGTTGTTGTCTATATTCCCAGCAAAGCTTTGGGAGTTGGAGGCCTAGCGAAGTGACGGAACTAAGACAAGACCCGGTGATTGGGAAAGTTCTCGGTTCGGGCCATTGGAGCTAGGCCTTCGGCAGGTGCTGTCCGGTTTGTTTTGGAGGAGCCTGTTGCCGATCGGCAGGGTCCGTAAAAACATTTTGTGAACCTCCGTGTATGCTGTTGTGGTAGGTGTTGGCAGAATCGGCAAGGTTGAAGGTAGGGAGGCTGGTGCCTTTAGAGCGCTGGGTCCAGGTTTAGGTAAGGGTCTCCAGAGCTCCGTGGACTTTGTTTTCCTGTTGTTGGAGCCATTATTTTTTTTTTGTCTGCCCCAAATTTTTTCCTACGGCACTTGCCGTTCGGCAAGAGTATCACTCGGATCTTGCGAGTTTTGAATTGGGCTTCATGAGCTAGTACTTTGGTGTGGGTTTGGCGTCAGCAAGGACTTGGAGATTTGATTTTTGTTTCCCAAGCTTCAGTAAGACAGTGGTGTCGGCTAGGATTAGCTTTGAGGTCGAGTCTTGGCTGCTGGTGATTAGTGCGAGAGTTGTGCGCTCGGGCTGGGAACTGGTCTCGACACTACTAGTAATTGAGGCTTCCCCCAAAATTCTTCCAAGGAGGTTGCTGTTCGGCAAGGGATTGGAGGCATAATTTTGGTGAGGGTTGAGAGTTGTTTTTGCATCGCAAGGCCCTTGCCTTTCGGCAAGGGTAATGTTTTTAGCAGCTGGTTTGGTGAATTTGGGCTAGGCCCGTTGAGCAAAAAGAGGGAGCCTTTACTTCGTAAGCTTGCTCTCCCTTTCGTATGAGCCTTGCCGTTCGGCAAGGCTGGTGTGAATTTAGCTCCCCCCTAGCCAGTTCAGTTCTAACAGTTGGCTCTGCTTTGTTTTTGGCAGGGTCTAAAAGACAGGAGAGTGGAAGCTGGGCTTCTGAAGTAGAGCTAGGTCATCCTCATTCGGCGAGTGGAGTTTAAGCGCGGTGAGTCCTTTATTTTGCTTCTTTGAACATGTGGTTTGATCTGCAAGGGTGTCTAGATCAATTTTTGACGTCTATTGCACTGTTTTCGTTGTTCACCAGGTGGGAATCTCGAAAACATCCTCACAGCTCCTGCCGTTTGACAAGTCACTTGGGAGTTTGAGCTGGTTCTTAGGAGCTTGTCCTTAGGGTTGGGCATGTGAGAAAGTGTTGAAATTTTGAGGCTGAGCTTGTGGAGATTCGCAAGAATATGGAGTGGTGCACAAATCTTTCTCAAAAGGTGGCTTGAGAGTTTGTGAGCGGGGCCTGCCTTGGAGCTGGGCTTTGGGAGTTTTGGCGAGAGCTGGGCTGTGGTGGCCGGGTCTGGTACCATTTTTTGAAGTGTAGCTAGGCCTCTGGTGCTTGGCTAGGCTATACGAGCTGGGCCTTGGAGATTCAGCGAGGTGCTGAAGTGTGAGAAGAGACTTGAGGACTTGGAGCTAGGTCTTGTGAAGGTAAGAAATTTTTTCGGAGCCTCCCTTTTGTTTGCTCAACCTTTGCCGTTTAGCAAGGGTGGAAATATACTTTTTTATGCTGAGTGGAGGCAATAATTTCTGCGTTTAGGTGCCGTTTGGCAAGGAAGGAAGGAGTTGGGCTCCGAAATTTGAGCTGCGCCTTGGAAGAAGGATTGGAGCTGGGTTTGCGTTGAGGTAAGTCTTTGTTGGGGCTCTCCTTTCATTCCGCTCAACCCTTGCCGAACGGCAAGGGTGGATGGATTGAGAACATACTGGGGGCTTGTTTGTATATTCTTTATGATGGTGGTTTGTGTGATCCTCTAGCAGGGTCTTGGTTGGGCCAAGGAGAGAAGGGATTGAGCTTGGAACCTGAAGCTGAGCCTTCATTTATGCTTAAGTACAGCCGTAGGTCTGGGCCTCTTGGTTCTGTAGCACGTGGGTGTGGATTTTGATTTTTGTAGTTTGTTCTGCTTTCGGTTGATCCTTTCCGTTTGGTAGGTGATAGTGTTTCAAATGCAGATTGCACCGTTAGCTCCCTTCGGCAAGAGGCGAAAGTGCGCTTAGGTGTTTTGGGCTGGTTCGGGGCTGGGCTGATATAAATTTGATATTTGTCACCCCTTGGCAGATTTGGTGTGAGCCCCTCCGATTCCTTGTTTGGCAAGGGTGGCTTCCTCTGATTTTCGGTGTCGGATCCCCTTAGGGCTGGTCTTGTTCTGCGGCTAGGGAGCTTGGGTTTGGGCCTTTGGCAAAGAGTGAAGGCCTGGCATGCGGGCTTGCTTCGGCAAAGTTGAAGAATTTTGAGCCTTTTTCTGCTGCATAGCCCCTTGCTGTTTCCGCAAGGGTAACTGAAAAGAAAATCTTGGGGCTCCCTGGAAGTTTTGGTGTTTTCGGCAAGGTGACATCCTCGCGCCCCTTGTTTTTCTTTTGCACAGTGCTTGCAATAAGGCATTGGTGTCTTGATAAAAATTGGCGGCTGGGTGCCACAGGCTAACTATAATTTGCCGATCCGCACCTTGTTGGTGTGACACCATGGGTGTCTTGAGAGGTTTAGCGAGAGGTGAGAGATGACATCTGTTTTCAGCGGATGAGAGGTGCTGGAAGTCTTTATATGCTTATTTGCATGGGGGCACCGAACGATAATGTGCCATTCTTAAGCCCTTTTTGCTGAACAAAACTTGATGAAGACACCAAGGTGGACACTATCCATTGGTGGTCTGGCAGTTAGGTGCCATTATTTATACCTCATATGGGCTTTTGAAAGGAGTACGTGGGTATCCTTCTTGCCCATGTTGGCATCCAATTGAACCACGTTAACCAGAATCTGTAACAAAGATTGCATGCATGCTTTGACATAATATCATGTGAGAGAAAGAATCTTTATTTTTGGCAATGACGCACGTGGCTCTCCTTTTGGCAAGAAGCCATGAAGTCTGAGATGGATTATATATATGCCAACCAAGTCTGGACATTGGTTGATCCACCTGAAGGTATAGTGCCAATTGGAAACAAATGTATCTTTAAGGGCAAGGTGGAGACCTACAAAGTTATATTAGTAGCTAAAGGCTACAGACAAAGAGTAGGGATCAATTATGAAGAAACTTTCTCTCCAGTAGCAATGATAAAATCCATCCGCATACTTCTCGTCATAGCAGCATATTATTAATATGAAATATGGCAGATGGATGTGAAGACAGCTTTTCTTAACGAACATCTTCAGGAAGAGATCTACATGGAACAACCTGAAGGCTTCATATCTAAAAATGAAGAAGAGAAAGTATGCAAGCTGCAAAGGCTAATCTATGGACTGAAGCATGCTTCAAGGAGTTGGAATATTCATTTTGATGAAGCAGTCAAGACTTTTCATTTTGATCAAAACTGAGATGAACCTTGTGTATACAAGAAGGCCAGTGGGAGCGCAGTCGTATTCCTTGTTCTACACGTGGATGACATATTCATGTTTGGAAATGACATATGCTTGTTGACCTCGGTGAAACTATGGTTATCAAAGACCTTCTCAATGAAGGATTTGGGTAATGCATCTTACATATTGGGTATCAAGATTTATAGGGATAAATCGAGAAAGCTAATTGGATTATCTCAATCCCTATACTTAGCTAAGGTGCTCGGAATATTCTACATGGAACAATCCAAGAAGGGTTATTCACTAGTTAGAAGTGGTATTCACATGTCTAAGATTATGAGCCCTAGAACCTAAGAGGAAGTGAAACAGATGAGTAACATCCCATATGCCTACGCAATTGGGAGTCTAATGTATTGCATGCTATGCACGAGGCCTGATATAAGCTATGTTGGTCAAATCTCTGCGCAAAGTAGTGGATAAGCTATGTTATTCCCTAATATAATTTGTGGACTTAATTAAAATGTTTAATACTAATTATTCACTAAATAAATAATAATGAAATTAAATAAATAAGGCTATGATATTATTTAATTACTTAAAGAAAATTTGAAAAAAACAGCTAAAGACACTAAGTTTATATATATATATATATTTTTTAAAAACCTCTCCCGACGAATATTTGCCGGATAAGACCTCTTTCGACGAAATTTCGTCCACAGAGATAATTTTCATCGGGAGAGGTCTAATCCAGAAAATATTTGCCGGCATAGACCTACTGTCGGGAGAGGTTTTTTGCTTTTTTTTGTTTTAATTTTAAAAATATAAAATTAGTTTCTTTACTTGTGTTGTTTGGCCAACTTCTTTAATTTAATATATGTAATTAATTAATATCTTAGTCTTTTTTAATTAGTAATTATTTTTTCATTATTTTTTCTTTAGTGAATATTTAAATATTACTGATTTCATAATTGACTTAATAAATAGTAATTAATTATTTTGTGGTCTTTTTTTTTCAATATTATATAATAATTAAAACATAATATGTTTAAAGGGTATAGCCGAATGGCTATAATGTTGTCCATCTCCGTCGTCATCTTCTTCTTCTTCTTGTATAGTTGGCGATTCCCCTTCATCTTCACCAGCAGCATAAGCGATGGCGTCATGATCCAGAGACTCATCGTTGGATTCATGATTATTAATAGAGGTGGTGCTGCAACTTGAACTGCAAAGTCTAGGACTAGGCACAGAGATTGCTTAGTTTATGGGTCCACCTCCACCTTACCTATATTTATGTAAATAGTATATAGTATGGGGCAGCAACATTTTCTATATGGTCATATTGTTTAAATATAATGTAAGCTTGGTGAGGTAGGATTACGAATATAATCATCATCACGGATTCACGGAACGGATGATCAAGTGACATAAATTCATTGGACAGCTAGCTTTTAAAAAGGAGATAGCTATATAGATAATAGACAGAGAAGTTTGACCAGGATCTTCTTGACAAAGCACCTTAATTTGCAAGAATAATCATGCCTTCCAATTACGGGTTCATCAAAACATCCCCCATTTAATTAGGAAATGGAAATACATTGCGCTTGGCAATGGCATTATGGCAAGCCGATGTTAATGAGGAAACTGACATTATTAATTGATTAATTATTGTATAATTTGAGGAGCCAATCTCTCGCACTCAAATGCATGTACAGAGTACAGACATGATGTATTCACTTCACTTGTACATCTGTTAATTGGTTGGTCACAGCAAAAATAAGTGAGGAAGGCAAGGCATACATATATAATATATATAATATATTAATTAATTGTCGAAGGAATCATGACCATTGTCTCCCCCTGTGAAGTCTTTGAGTTGGGTTTCTTCAAGCCAGGCAATATTTCAGGCTGGTACTTGGGCATATATATGGTACAAAAATGTCCAAAACAGAACAGTTGTTTGGGTGACCAACATAGACACCCCACTTTCAAATTCATCAGGAGCTCTTTTGATGAGTGGTGAACATGGAAACATTGTCCTTCTTGATCCATCTGGAAATGTCAGTTGGTCCTCCAATCACACCCAAGTTTCGAGACCAAATGTCCTGCTTTTGGATATAGGCAATCTTGTGATCAAAGAAGGAACCGAAAACAGCCAAACATATTTCTGGCAGAGCTTTGATTATCCCACACACATTCTTTTTTTTTTTTTTTTTTTTTTTTTTTTTTTTTTTTTTTTTTTTTTTTTTTTTTTTTTTTTTTTTTTTTTTTTTTTTTTTTTTTTTTTTTTTTTTTTTTTTTTTTTTTTTTTTTTTTTTTTTTTTTTTTTTTTTTTTTTTTTTTTTTTTTTTTTTTTTTTTTTTTTTTTTTTTTTTTTTTTTTTTTTTTTTTTTTTTTTTTTTTTTTTTTTTTTTTTTTTTTTTTTTTTTTTTTTTTTTTTTTTTTTTTTTTTTTTTTTTTTTTTTTTTTTTTTTTTTTTTTTTTTTTTTTTTTTTTTTTTTTTTTTTTTTTTTTTTTTTTTTTTTTTTTTTTTTTTTTTTTTTTTTTTTTTTTTTTTTTTTTTTTTTTTTTTTTTTTTTTTTTTTTTTAATATATCTTAGTCTTTTTTAAATTTGTCGGTAGCCTGAAGGGATGTGGGTTATAATGTGTTTGTGATTGTGTCGGGGCTGAAACCTATTTTAGATTGATGAATGATTGTGGATTGAGTCCTAACAACTACTTATGACTATGCCTGGAGGGTAGACTGTGCATGCTGAAGTGTGGAAATTTTAAACTGTGTTTTTGACAGGTTGAAAAATTTGGTTAAGTCCGTTTTTCAAGGGAGACTCTGCCGAAATTTCGGTAGAAGTCTCGGCCCTCTTTTCCTTTGTTTTAGGGGAAGAGGACATTTGAAATCAGTAAGTGGGCCCGGTATCTGTTGGATGTCGAAAATACCACAGGATCCGTCACGGATTCCGAGGAATTCGGGGCGAGTCCTGTCATTTTATTTGTGTTGTTATAGCTTGGTTTTTTTTAAGCTTTATCTTTTAATTATTATTTTAAGTTTGAAATCCTAGTTGGGATGCATACGCCAGAGTTTCTTCGATACAGCGTGCTCGTTAGTGGAGGCGCACCAGATTGTCTTAATTTTGATGTTTGGTAAAGTATTGGCTTTTCACTCGATAACTTACCGGTAAGTTGTTGTCTTTTCACTGCATCATTTTCATGTCGATTAAATATCGGCTTTTCACGCAATAACTTACCGGTAAGTTATAGGCTTTTCGCTCAATCATTTACCTGACGATTAAACATTGGCTTTTCACGACATAACTTACCGGTAAATTATAGGCTTTTCACTCCATGACTTACATGATGGTTAAATATTGGCTTTTCACGCTATAACTTACCGGTAAGTTATTGGCTTTTTGCTCTATCACTTACATATTGAGCGTAAAATTATCACACATGCATGCGCACTGATTTGATTGAAGTTGCCATTGTTTTTCGATCAATTTTAACATGCAAATACTAGTCATAACTCTAGGGGTTA